CTGTATAGAGCATATGAGAGCACATGGAAGCCAGTGAATGCAGTGAGTTTAAGGGCACATGTTTCTGTAACTCTGGAGGATATTGTTGTTGTGTGTTCACGTATGAGATCCATGAGCCTTGCCCAGAATCCCCCTCAGAGCCAAAGCTACTGATAGGATTTAGTGCTTTTGTTTGGTCGACCTTGGACAATGATTTTATAAAAGAAAAAAAACACAGTGAATGGCATTTTTTTCCATTCAAGAAAGGTGCTAAATATTAAGGCTAAACTAAAACAGGCAGATATTTAGACTGCTTTAGATGGAAAACTTTAAAATCAATGACAACTTCTTTAAGCTTAAGCTTTTTTTCTGTGTACCCTATTGAGCAAGTAGTACCTTTTTTTGAAACACTGGTTAAAATTTCAATACAACTCTAAAACTTTGCAGTCACTCTAAGACATTAATAAACAAAGTTAGGTCATTAAGCCTTTTACCATTTTTATATACAGAAAAATGTCAACTTATTCGAATGATCCCTTTCATCCATACAATGTAGGGCAAGTAGAGGCCATTGTTTCAGAATGCCTTAAATATTCTAAGTGCCTTTTATTTGTGTGTATTTGTGTGTAAAAAAGATCAGCTAAGCGGTAAAGCCGGGGGCCAGAACGGGCGACATCAAATCCTACCTGAAACTACTGGCTAAGCATAAGGTTAAATACAGTAAGATTGTTATTCACGCTGGTGGTAATGACACCCGGTTACGCCGATCGGAGGTCACTAAAATTAGTGTTGCTTCGGTGTGTAAGTTTGCCAAAAAAATGTCGGACTCCGTAATTTTTTCTGGTCCCCTCCCTGATCTGACCAGTGATGACATGTTTAGCCGCATGTCGTCATTCAACCGCTGGTTGTCTAGGTGGTGCCCTGAAAACAACGTGGGCTACATTAATAATTGGCAATCCTTTTGGGGAAAGCCTGGTCTGATTCGGAGAGACGGCATCCATCCCACTTTGGATGGTGCAGCTCTTCTTTCTAGGAATCTGGCCACATTTATTAGTCCTCCAAAACCCTGACCACCCAGGGTGCAGACCAGGAAGCAGAGTTGTAGTTTAACACACATCTCTGCAGCTTCTCTACTGTTACCCACTCTTTACTCCATCCAGACAGTGTCTTGCCCACGACCAAAATCTAATAAATTAGCAAAGATTCCCAAAGGAGTAAATCATGATAATCTAATTAAAATCAAAATAACTCCAATTGGGGAAAAAGTTAAAACAATTAAATGCGGTCTGTTTAACATAAGATCGCTTTCCTCTAAAAGTCTACTAGTTAAGGACTTGATTTGTGATAATCACATTGACTTGTTTTGCCTTACAGAAACCTGGCTGCAGCAAGAGGATTATGTGAGCATAAATGAGGCAACTCCTTCAAGCTATTTAAATTTTCACATCCCCAGAAGTTCTGGGCGAGGAGGAGGAGTAGCAACAATCTTCCAGTCTGACTTACTGATTACTCCCAAAACAATTAATACCTACAACTCTTTTGAACATTTAACCCTTAATTTCCCTGATCCGAATTTCAAGGCAAGAAAACCTCTTCTTTTTGTAACTTTGTATCGTCCACCAGGTCCTTACTCTGAATTTTTAGATGAGTTTTCAGAGTTCCTTTCTGATTTGGTATTAAATACTGACAGGGTCATCATAGTGGGAGATTTTAACATCCATGCTGACATTGAAGGCGATAGCTTAAGAGCAGCCTTTAATGCTATCTTAGACACTATTGGCTTTGTTCAAAATGTGAATAGTCCCACGCATTCTCATCTTCATACTTTGGATCTTGTGCTGACATACGGCATAGAATGTGAAGAAATAACAGTATTTCCTCACAACCCTGTCCTCTCTGACCACTTTCTAATAACCTTCAGGATTACTTTAACAGAGTTCTCCTTCCCCAAAAGAAGGTTCAATTTTAGTAGATCTTTATCAGATAGTGCAGTTATAAATTTTAAAGAATCTGCTTCACTTTCTCTCTGCTCTGTGTCACTGAGCAGTGCTGCAGAGTGCAAAAGCTTAGCTTATTCCCCTTCACAGGTTGATGATTTTGTTGATGGGGTTGCTAGTTCTCTGCGTATTGCCTTAGACAACGCAGCTCCTTTGAAAATGAAAACTGTTAAAAATAGAAAGCTTGCTCCTTGGTTTAATGCAGAGCTGCGTACTTTGAAGCAAAATGCTAGGAAACTGGAGAGAAAATATCGCTCCACAGGCCTGCGAGAGTCCTTCCTAGTCTGGAAAAATGGTTTACTGCTGTATAAGAGGACCCTTTGTAAAGCAAGAGCAGCATACTTCTCCTCATTAATAGAGGAGAATAAGAATAATCCTAGATTTCTTTTTAATACAGTTGCCAAACTCACCCAGAGCCATAGCTCTGTTGAACCGTCCATTCCACCTGCTCTTAGCAGCAATGATTTTATGGGATTCTTTATAAATAAGATTGATCTTATTAAAAATAAGATCATAAGCACTCCTCTATCCGCGATTGTACCTGAGGTAGTCATGGAATCTGAACCGGGTTTAGACTGCTTTGATCCAGTTGAACTCTCTGAATTAGCAAAATTATTGTCTTCATCTAAGCCTTCAACTTGTATGTTAGATCCAGTTCCAACCAGGTTATTTAAGGAGGTATTCCCTTTGATCTCCTCCTCCATTTTAGATGTGATTAATCTATCTCTGTTACAGGGATATGTACCTAAAGCTTTTAAGATTGCTGTAATTAAACCTCTGCTTAAGAAACCGTCTCTTGACCCAGATGACTTGGTCAATTATAGACCTATATCCAATCTTCCTTTCTTATCCAAAATTCTTGAGAAAGTAGTTGCCAAACAAGTTTGCGATCACTTCCACCATAATGAACTTTTTGAAGAGTTTCAGTCTGGCTTTAGAGCTCATCATAGCACTGAAACAGCTCTGGTGAAAGTCACTAATGATATTCTCATGGCCTCAGATAATGGACTTGTATCTGTGCTCGTCCTGTTGGATCTTAGTGCTGCATTTGATACAGTTGACCATAATATTCTTTTAGAAAGACTTGAATATTTTGTTGGAATTAAAGGAACAGCACTAGACTGGTTTAAATCTTATCTATCTGATCGAATTCAGTTTGTTCATGTTAATGATAGATCTTCAACACGCTCAAAGGTTACCTGTGGAGTACCACAGGGATCAGTGCTAGGACCAATTCTCTTTACTTTATACATGCTCCCAATTGGTAGAATTATTAGACAGCATGGGATTAATTTCCACTGTTATGCTGATGATACCCAGCTATATCTGTCTATAAATCCAGATGAAGCTAACCCATTACATAGATTACAGGCATGTCTTGAAGACATAAAAACCTGGATGACTCTTAACTTTCTGCTTCTGAATGCAGACAAAACAGAAGTTATAGTCTTTGGACCAGAGTCTCTGAAAAAGAAACTGATTAGCCAGTCACTTCATTTGGATGGGATTAAACTGATTTCAGATAATAAAGTAAAAAATCTTGGTGTTATTTTTGATCAGGACCTGTCATTTAAATCCCATATCAAAGAGGTTTCTAGAATTTCCTTCTTTCATCTGAGGAACATTGCAAAAATTAGAAATATCCTGTCCAGGGGTGATGCTGAGAAACTAGTCCATGCATTTGTTACTTCAAGGCTGGACTATTGTAATTCTTTACTATCAGGAAGTCCACAAACTGTAGTTAAAAGCCTTCAGCTGATCCAAAATGCTGCAGCCAGAGTTCTAATGAAAATGAAAAAGAGAGATCATATCTCTCCTATCCTGGCTTCTCTTCATTGGCTTCCTGTTAAATCAAGAATAGAATTTAAAATCCTCCTTCTCACATATAAAGCCTTAAATGGCCAAGCTCCATCTTATATCAGAGATCTGATTGTTCCTTATGTTCCTAACAGAGCACTTCGCTCTCAATCTGCAGGTTTACTAGTGGTTCCTAGAATTTCTAAAAGTAGAATGGGAGGCAGGTCTTTTAGTTATCAGGCTCCTCTCCTTTGGAACCAACTACCAGTTTTAGTCCGTGAGGCAGACACCCTGTCTACTTTTAAGGCTAGGCTTAAAACTTTCATTTTTGATAAAGCTTATAGTTAGGGTGGCTCAGGTTATCCTGAGCTATCTCTATAGTTATGCTGCTATAGGCTTAGACTTTTGGAGGACATAGGGACCCCCATTTCATCATTCTGCTTCATTCTTTCTCTGTTCTCCTATTCTGCAGAATCTGTTAGTTCAATCTCTAACCTTCTGCTCTCTCTGCTTTTCCTCAGAGTAGCTTTGCCTCGTCTGTTCCTGTTTGGCTGTGACGTCATCCTGGAAAAAAACATCAGCTGTGCTGCTTCTATCAACACCCTTGTTAATAGATGTTGGAGATCGGCCTGTTTTCCAGTGTGGTCCTGTTTCTCTGACCGTGACTGAGTGGATGTGCTCTCTTCGTCCTCTGGCATGGGAGCTGCCTTGGAGCTCGTCTGCCTGGCTGTGTGTTTCCTGGACGGGGCCGCCTTTTACAGCTGCTTTTTGTATCTCTGCTTCTGTCTCCTTGAACCCCAGTCGGCCTCGGCAGATGGCCGCTCACACTGAGCCTGGTTCTGCTGGAGGTTTCTTCCTGTTAAAAGGGAGTTTTTCCTCTCCACTGTCGCTACAAGCATGCTTAGTGTGGGGGATTGTATTTGAGTCAATGAGTCAATGCAATCAACTGGTTTTCCTTAGATAGAAAACTTTGTATCAATTTGACTGTATGATCTGGTTGAACTGTAAAGTGCCTTGAGATGACATGTGTTGTGAATTTGGCGCTATATAAATAAACTGAATTGAATTGAATTAATCTCCAGAAAAACTTTTATTGAAAATATCACCAATGCTTTGATATGTTTTTTTAATAACAATCTCTGAAGAATTTTAAAGTATCTCTAATGATTTATCAAAGTGAAATTAAATGATTACAGGCAATTTTTCAACTTTACAACTTTTAACTTTTCAGGCAATTTTTAGCGTTTCTTGAACCATAACACCAATTCCATCAAAGATCTTGTGAAAGGGAGCGTTGCACATGAAGGCACAGGTGGTGACCAGCTTGTTTTTAACATCAACATGAGCTTCATCCACCTCTTTGTTCACATATTTGCAGCCCAGGTCCTTCATAGCTCCAGCTGTCTGAGCATACGGCCACCTGAAGATAAAAACACATAGAAGGGTCACAACAAATCTCTTAAGCTAATATGTTGTTTTTTTGAAGAAGCAGTGTTACACACTCTTCACACTCTTTGTCCTGCCCCACAGTGAGCTCACAGCCAGGCAGCAGCTTTGCAGCCAGGACAGGAGAAATGCAGGACATGCCCAGAGGCTTTCCAGCTTTATGGAAATCCTCGATTAGTTTCTTCAGGAGAGGCTGGATGGTGAAGTTCTTGTTCTTCACAGCCCAATCACAAAGATTCTTAGCTACACCGAACCCCCCTGAAGGAAATACAAAGTATTGTTGAGAAAATTAAATTAGAGAGCATTTTTCTCAGAGCTCTATCTGGGTCTTTAGAAGGTCATCTCACCTGGAATGATGGCAGCATCAAACTCTGAGACATCCAGCTTGGCCAGATCCATCACATCGCCCCTGGCGATACGGGCGCTTTCCTGCAGAATGTTTCTCTTCTCCTCTGTCGGCTTTCCCTCACAATGATTCACAACATGCATTTGGTCCTCATCTGGAGCAAACATTTGGGCCTAAACTCAACCACAATGGTAAATCTTCAAAAAAATACTTTTTGACAGGTAAATACTCTTTTTTTATTCTTTGGTCCTTACTTTAGCTCCAGCACGACTCAGATGAATGAGCACAGCTGAGGCCTCGTGGATTTCTGTACCATCGTAAACTCCACAACCTGCCAGAATAACTGCAACACGCTTCACCATGATTACTGAAAAACACAGACATGGTCACCCAGTCAGAAGACCAGTTAACATCTGAGAGGTCATAAATTATCACCAGTTATACCTAAATTTCTAATGTTTTCCCAACTGCACAGAACGATTGAACCTAGAGATGGCAACCTGTTGCATGGTAATATAGATATATACAAACCTAAGTAATAAACAAGAGTTAAGAGTCCTGCTGCTGATACCAGGTGCTAAAGCTAACTGGCTGCAGCAAGACTATTTATATTTATATTTTTTTATATAAAATTTGGAATTTTTGTGCAAATGATATTTACTTATATTTATTCTACAATTACAGTATGTTAATGTCAAACTTTTAAATCAAATATGCTTCTAGGAGACCAATAATGTGATAATTTTTCCCTTGTGCTGTAGATAAAGGCCAGACACACAGTGTACGATGTTTTCAATCTTTCTTCTAAGCTACAGCTCAAACTGTACTATGAAACCGGATGGTTTAGAAGTTCACAGCTCACAATGTATGTTCTTATACTGTACAGTCCGATGCTCTGATGCGATCTACCTGCTCACACTGCAGGTCCAAAAGCCACATGTCGGACTCAGCGCCGAGAGATGGCGCAGGTTTTACTCGTCAATCTGGAAAAAGGATAACTCCCTTGTTTGCACACGCACAGTGCTCGAGGTTCTGGTAAACTGCCTCCTAGACGCTCGTAACTCTGCTTCAACAGCAGGATTTGCCTACGAACACCTTATGATGGCCGAATGAATTTAAAAAATGTTTGATTTTCTCCCAACCTTATGATTACTGATCAGGAGGTGGTCATTAGAGGCTAATCGCCCCTTATTACCACCTGTATACTACACAATGCAGGACGCACAATTAGGCTAAAATTTGGCCTGATCCAAAAAATTCTCCAACAACTGGAGAATCCGGCCAAAAAGCGCAAAAAATATGTATGCCCGGCTTAAGTTGACATTATATTGATTCAGCAATGAGGACTCAACAAGACATTTTAGACAAAGTTTGGCTCCAAAAACTTGAGAATAGCCTCAGAATCAAGGTTTAGAGAGTCACATCTTATAAATAAATTGTTGTATGGAGAAAGGAAGAGAGACTACAGATATTTAAGAAGCCTGATTTGCAGAGATGGCAAAAGTACTCACTTTCTGTACTTGAGTAATAGTACAGGTACTTGTGTTAAAAAATACTCTGGTAAAAGTGGAAGTACTGATTAAACTTCTTTACTCAAGTAAAAGTAACAAAGTTCAGGCTTGTAAATTTACGTAAAGTATAAAAGTAAAAGTAGAAACCACTTTTTTCATGCCGTTGCCTACATTTTAAATGGATGTCTGCCAATAGGACTAGATCTCCGTTGTGTTCATTTTCAATCATCTCGTCGTCCATGCTACTATGCTAACGCCACCGCCACCAAGCTGCAATGATTTGCCGCGAATGAATACCTCCGAATCTGTCGATTCATCTTGTAGTGGTGTGTCAAATGCAACGTAGATTCCCATCCAATTAGATTGAATTTGGTATTGATGACGTGAAAAATAATAACGGTAACTCCATTGAAATGATTCAAAACTAAAGTAACGAGCCAATTTTTTTAAATGTAAGGAGTAGAAAGTACAGATATTTGTGTAAAAATGTAAGGAGTAGAAGTAAAAAGTCGCCATAAAAATAAGCAGTAAAGTAAAGTAAAAATATCAGAAAAATCTACTTGAGTACAGTAACAAAGTATTTGTACTTCGTTACTTCCCATCTCTGCTGATTTGTGAGATGACATGAGTAGTAATTAAAGATCTGGGGATACATTTTAGCAGGAACAAGACCAAATTATGTCCAGTGTAAATAAACCTCAGAAATATTTATGTGTATATTTTAATCATTGCCATATTTGACAATCTGCTCCAGAGGTTGACTACTGATGTGCAGGACTCAAAGCGTTTTCTAGTTTATCAAAAGCTTTTCTGCAATTTTTCCAGGAATTTTTCCAGGAATAGTTTTCCAGGAATAGTTTTGTTTATAGGGAGACTAAAAATCATGTCTTATTAATAAAAACAATTCAAGGGTTGATCACAGTTTCAACATGTTAAATCATAATGTGTTAAATTAGGTTTAATAACGTTCTTTTAATGACAAACTCCTCTTTTCTAAAAATAATGCATTCTTGATAAAAGCCTCATCACTATAATTATTTAAACTTGAACAAAAGAAAATTAATTTAAACACAAATAATAGCTGTGTAGTTATCAGGTAATTGGTTATTTATGTTAAGTCACTGTCACAGATTTAAAGTCAATTGAGATCAAAAGGTAAACCAATCAAGAACAGACACTACATACCTTATTTAGTTGTGTAGTATTGCTGTTGAACACAGCATGCAGAAAAGTTCATCAGGGGAGACTTGATAGCTGATCTTTGAATAGAGGGGCTTTATAGTCCCAAGTGTCCACTCAGTCTCCTCCCACATTAATGTGGTCTAAAAAGATGACAAACAAGACATTTAACTCTCTAGAATTGGCAAAATGGTTAATTTGGGAAATGAAAAGGCAAAATCATTCTTCTTTACGCCTAGATGATGAGATGTTTAATCTGATCCATTTAGTTGCACAACACAGGAAATGACTAAGAGATTAAATTTCGTCACCACAAAATCACACAAACTGCGATTTGAGGGATAAAAGATTTTTTTTCTGTATTTTGAAGTGAAATGTAAAGAAAATGTAATAAAAATGAATATTAATCATTTTTCCTGATATGGCAAAAATACGTTCTCCAAGGCATTCTCAGGAAAACTAAATTAATTGAAACTAGAGAAGTCTTTCCACTGTTTTCTGTGGGCTGTATTAGTTCCTAATAGAGCGTGACTCTGTCTTTTGTACGCCTTCTGTGTGTTTATGTGATTCACAGCAGTATGATACAATTGCTTAGTCTAACCGAATGTATGTGTGTCAGCATCCTGTGCATTTTAGGAAGTAAGTCTTCCGATTTACATCAGGATAGTTGATCTCCATGTTTATGCTGTAAAAATCGTGCTTGAAGTATGTTGATTTCCTTTAAAAAATGAATAGAAACCTACATATATCTTTTTCAGAGTTGACGTCCTATTGCCTTTATTTCAAAATGATTTTCCAATGATTACCTTTACAGTTGACTCTGTTTTTGTTTTGTTTTGTTGATTTTCCCGCTCCCTGTGGTTTCTTACTTTCCAAATATTCATTCATTACTTGCAGTTTTTATCACATACCCGATCAAATTTTTATGTTCACTTTCAGTCACTGCAGAAGAATACAGCAAAGCAGGAAATCCCACAGTCCCTGGTCGGGTTTGACGGCTCTCTTTGGATTCCCTCGCTGTAGGCTGGCTTAACTAGACTAGAAGCCAGACGGGTCTATCAGATGGACTCAGCCACTCTAAAGACATATATAAAAGTATAATCAAAATCTTGATAAACTGATAACATCCAGAAGTTTTGAGTTGTAATACACATTCTGGCACATTAATCCTAATACCATCTAAAACCACGTAGAACACTGCAAGATAATATCCAACAGCAAAATCCAATCAAATTACTATAGAAAAGGCTGGGGACAGAACACAAGCTTTGTTACTGTCTCTGTTGTATCATATCTGTGTTCTGCCATTGACCTCACAGTAGTCATATTCTTTCCCTGTCAAACATGGACAATTCACAGAGCTAAGAGAGGATAACTTAAAGTCCCCAAGGAATTATGATCAAACTTGTGTAACAATGCTAATCAGAATATTGACCTGAAAGAACAGCAGTAACATGTCTTCAAGTTCAATTTTATGTCACAAAATCCTCTGCTGATCCATAGAATCATTCATCAGCAGGTTATACCAACTAAACAATTAAAAATTCAAAATGGTTTTCCAGTTCACTGAGTGCAATATATCACCAAAAAAATAAACTCACTATAACACCAGTTCTCTTTAGGATACTTGAAACTGCCCAATGAGTTTAAGTCAAAAAATGTTATTCTTTTTTTTTTTTTTTTTTTTTTTTAAGGGGCAACACATTTCATTACATGACTAAATCATGGATTTAGTCTAACTGAAATGCTGAGTGAAAAAGATTCTAACCGCGTCCATTAGTGGGTTTATCTTGGCACTGGGCCCTCTCCTGGGAACTCCATGGTTCTTCTAAGAAATAACTGTTTTCATCTCCGTCATGGAATGCTGGACCAACTCTACAACCTCTTCAGGGTGATCGAGGAGTGTGCCCAGCCAGTCCAGATATCCTCTGTGGACCTGGTGAATGCCTTTTACCATGTCCATGTATGTCGTCTCTGGGTGGTCCTCCAGCATTAAGGAATTTGGGACCCTTTACTGGGGGGCATATAGCCAGAATTAAGCAGAAATAGTTCCAGCTGCATGTTGGCTGGGCTGTTCCGTGTCATCAGTCTGTTAATAACCTTCATTTAAAGGATTTCTATGTAAATCTTTAGGCCGGTTTTGAAACACCTTGGGCTCGCCCTGAGAAGCTAGAAGAGGTGTCTGGGGAGAGGCTACTCAACTGAAATCCAGGTCTGGATATGTGGAATATAATAAGTAGGAGTATCAAGGCAAAGCAATTTTTGGAGAGTAGAAATAAACTGGAATACCCAACACAGTGAAAAAATAATCAAATGTAAATGCAGCTGTTTTTCACTGGCAGTACATTTTTGAGTGGTTAAAAGGACTATTGGTTTTTGCAAGAAATGTGCTCAGACAACACCATATTCAATTTGTTTCTTGATTACTTAGACTTTGACCTCAAAAAGAATTAAAGTTTCATTTTCGTGACACATTCTCACCC